TCCCTTTCGGAACTCCCCACCCTTCTTTCCTACCTTCCTAGGCCAGCTGAGCTCTCCTCTCCCAAGGCTCATCCACGTCATCTCCTCCAGGAAGCCTTCCGGGATTCCCCATCTGTACATTATCCCCCTCCTTCCCACCTGGCAGCCAGAGGGGTCATTGTTGAACAAAAACCTGACAATGCTCAGCTTCTGCCGAAACCCTCCCTGACGCTCAGGTGAAGGCGGTGCCTTCGGCATCTTTATATGGGGATGAGGACCGCTTTGGTCTGACCCTGTTGATCCCACCAGCCTCCTTCTGCCCCCTGGCCCGCCAGAATTGCTCTCTGTTCCTGAACTCACCTCGCTCCCTGGGCCTTCCTGAACTTTGCCTGGTCTGTCCCCCTTCTGGGGATACCCCTCCACCTCTTTGCTTGGCTACTATCTCCCCACCCTCAGGGCTTCTTCCCTGAGACCCCTGGGCCCTCCATCACAGCCGGGGACACAGCCCATAACAGTTACTCATCTATGAGCCTCCCTGCCTCCTTTCCTGGCCCTGAGGGCCGGCCCTGCCCTGTTTGCCCCTGTGGCCCCAGAGCCTGGCCACAGCAGGTGCTCAGCCCCCAAGAAGCACACGCCAAGTGCTTCCCATACATTGCTCTTGTCTCCTGGGAGCTGCCCTGGGGGCCAACACGGCGAGCCCTGCCCGGCAGGGCAGAAGGTACAGTCTGTCCCAGAGAGATGGCAGATGCTTCCCCAGCGCCGCCATGTGCCCTGCGAGCTCTCAGACATGGCCTCATTCAGTTCCTCCTCACTGTCACCCAGAGGAGTGTCCCATCATGGCATATCCTAGACAGGGCCCCTGAGCCTCCAGGCTCTACCCTGCTTACACCTGTGCTTCCCCCGGAGAAGGCAGGGCAGAGCAGCGAGGCGGGCTCTGGAACCAGGGCGCTGGGCTTGGGTACCCACACCCCACGTCCTGCGTGAGCAACCTTGAGCAAGTTGCTGGACTTGTCAGTGCCTTGGTTTTCCCATCTGGAAAATGAGGGTAATAATAGTTAAACATTATAGGACTATTGTAAAGAACAAGTGATGTAATTCACATAAAGCATCTGGAGCAGAGCCTAGTAGCCCTCTCTCTGTTGGTGGTGTTAACAATAATCCTGGTATCGTCATCAGTACAACCCATGTGGCAGTCCTGAGCGTCACGGTCCCCTTCTCATTATGACAGTGGGGAAACCGAGGCCCAGACGGGTGGAGTGCCTTTGGTTCATTTGCCAAGCTGGTATGTCAGCTACAGCCTGGACAAGGACTCGGCCGTGGAGGAGAGTTCCAGGCACAGGGAAGAGTGAGCGTGAAGGTGCAGTGAGAATAGACTTGGCGTGTTTGAGGGTTCGAGGAACAGCAGGGAGGCCGAAGAGGCTGGCCTGTGGAGAGCATTCGTGGAGGTTCCCATAACAGAGCCGGGGCCCTAGGCCTTGTGACACCCAGTCCTTGCCATAGGGTGACTGTCTCTGAAGAGCTTATAAAGACAAGAACTGATCTTTCTTTGCCAGAAAGTTCTGTGAGCCTCGGGTCCATGTCCTCTGGTTCATTTTGGTGGTGCCTTCAAGCCTAGGAGACGGTTGACTGAGTGCCTTCCTCTGGCCCTCCTGGGTCAGCCCACGACCCACCTCACTGTGGTATTCTAGAATGGCTATACCCTGTAGGGTGAAGCTAGACCGCGGGTGGTTAAACAGGGCCACCCATGCCACCACTCTCCCCGCCGGCGCCCACAGCAGACATTGGTAATGGATCACAGATTATCGCACTCTGGATCCGTTTCCTCCAGTGCTCGGGGCGCCCCGTGCCATTGTTGCTGGCCCACAAAAGGAGCCCATCTGTTATCCTTCGATTGACCCGCGCCTCACTGGTTCACTGGGACTGTAGGTAGCCCACCGTCCCCTCTGCCTTTTGCACAGGAAACGGGTAGGATGAGCAGTTGCATCCCAAGTGCCCTGGGCCCTTCTCAGAGGACCCTTTGCCACCACGGCCACCAGCCAGCCCCTTCATGTCCTACTAAACAGTTCTCAGGGCACCTGGCAGCTGGGGTCGGTGCCTCCCTGGGAAAACTTGGACTTCCCAGGACCTCTCCCCTCACCTTCTCCCTTGTAGGGGGATGCTTCGCTGGGCATCCCCCTGCTTCCTGTCCCTCACCCACACCAAGCTCCTTCCTACCTCAGAACCCCTGTCCTTGCTGTGCTCTCCGCATCCAGATCTTGGCATCTGCACCGCGTGTCCTCTCTTCCGAGAGGCCTGTCCTCACCGCCCAGTCTTTGTTTCTCCAGCATGCTCTAGGATCCCCTTGTTTTGTGCTGACTTTCAGTAGCCGCGATGCAGCGGGGGAACCAAGACCCAGGGCTTTTTTTTTTTTTTTTTCAAGATTTTATTTTTAAGTCATCTCTACTCCCAAGGTGGGCCTCGAACTCACAACCTCGAGATTAAGAGTCCTACGTTCCACCGGCTGAGCCCAAGGCCCAGGGCTCTTACATGATTCTGTGATGGGGGTCGTGGGCCACCCAGAGAGCAGAGGCAGAGCCGGGAGCAGCACTCGGGCCTCGGTGCTGGTCGGGCGCAGGTCCTTGGGAGAGCCCAGGCGAGGCTGCAGCAATGGGGTACCAGGCCAGCATCATTAGGACTCAGTCTGCACCGGGCTCCTGCTGAGTGCCCCTCGGGGTCATCTCGGGGGCTCCCACCCCCGCGCTGCTGTGCGGTTGTCTGTATTTGCAGGGAGGGGGCTGGAGGCCGAGAGGTGAGGCCAGTGTCAGGATCCACAGCCAGCCTGGGTCCCTGCGCCTTGCTCTTGACCATCTTCGTTCCCATGCTGAACCCGGTTTGTCACTGTTGGAAGGTCAGGAACTGCAGTGAGGGCTAAGAAACTGCAGCAGGTCCCAGGCCCTTTGCAGACGATTGTGAAATTGACGTCACTCCGAGGGCAGGCAGACAGCAGGGCACAGATAATGCCCCCCACCCGTGCCCACCCCAGGCCCTCATGAACACAGGCAGAGGGCCCGGAACCTGGGAAGGATCAGCCAGAGGTGCGTGTTGGGTAGCAGCATTATGGGTTGTGGTGCCTTTCTCTCTTATAGTTTCTATTTTCCAAATTTTCTTTTTCTTAAAAGATTTTATTTATTTATTTGACATGGAGAGAGAGCACGCACAAGCAGGGGGAGTGGCGGGCAGGCAGAGGGAGAGGGAGAAGCAGGCTCTCTGCTGAGCAGGGAACCCGATGCGGGGCTCCAGGACCCCGGGATCATGACCTGAGCCGAAGGCAGCCGCTTAACTGACTGAGCCACCCAGGCGCCCCTCTATTTTCCCAATTTTCTGAAAAAACTGAAGCTCATAGGGGTGGAGACACTTGCCCAGGTGGCCCAGTGCTGTCTGCGTGCGTGCGTGCTTGCGTGTGTGTGTGTTTGGAGTTGGGGTCCAGCTTGCTCCACTTCCTTGGCCCAGGCTGTGGGAGCTCCATCCTGCTGGCTCTCGCCTGGGCAGCCCCCCAAAGCTGAAGACCGTGGGGGCTGGTGGGGAGGCCAGGAAGGAAGAGGCATCCTCCTCATGGGTTGTGTTTACAGGAGGGGATTGTTTGCAAAGATAATGGGAGAAAAATCGGTCGGGTGCACCATGGAGGCAGCTGGGGCCACACTGGGCCTGATGGCAGGTGGGGGAGAAGCGCTCTCGTGCATCCGTCTATTCCGTATCCTTCCTGCTGCAGAAGGCCGCGCTGCCTCACTTTACCCTGGGCCTGGTGGGAGAGGCGCGTGCAGGGAGCTGCAGCCTGGCCTCAGGCTGGCTCCCACAGGGCAGAGATCCCTGGGAACTGAGAGCACTGAATCCCCAGCAAGTCCTAGCAGGCTGGGCCCTTTGGGCCTTGCTCGGGGTCCTCCGAGAACGAGAAGCTGAGCTGGAGTTGGACCCCCCTGTGTCATAGCGAGGATTCGTTCATTCATTCACTCGATCATTCGTTTGTCTGCTCAGTAAGTCTTTACTGAGCACCTGCTATGGGCCAGGCCAGTGCGGGGCGCTGGGGGCAGCCGGCTCTGAGGGAGACAGGTGCCTGGAGTCCCCTGGGGGAGGGGACACAGGCATGGCCCAGGCTGGCACGGTGGGGAAGTCCCTTCTGTAAGTGGCATTCAGGCTTCCCTGCTTTATGAAATGACAGGTTGCTTCGCCCCTTTCCTTTTCAAAGAAGCCTAAGAGCGCACTTGTCAGGTCTGCAGCTTTCTCTTCTCATCCCCACCCTGTCTCGAAGAGCTGGCTCCCAAACGCAGCCAGCCCTGTCGAACACCCGTGCTCATGTGGCCGGGAAGTGTATGTGCCGTGTGCACAGAGACTGGGCCCATTTCCCAGGCTCGGTGCCATAGCTTTCTGTCCTATTCCCAGAGCCGCCTCTGGCCCCCCGCGAGCTAAGACCCCTGTTCTCGACTAGCGACAGGTACGGAGATAATTGATTTTAATCAAATGTCATCTTCTTACCTCAATAAAAAGATGACTTAAAATAAAAAAATAGCTTTCACGAGTCCTAGTAACTAAGGACGGTTTATAAAAGAAAAGGCAAATCTAGGTAGAGTCGTGATTGTTGTTTGATTTGTTTTTTCAAAGGTTTTGTTTTCTGCAACAATCTTTTTAAAAGTAGCCCATTTTTTAGTGGGTCATGGTCGATTGCTTTCACGGTTTGTTGATTTATGTGGATATAAACAACTTTTATTATCTAAGATTTGTATTCTATATCACATGCTGTGTTACACCAAACTATATCTGTGTTTGATATTTTTTATGCCTGATCTAGAACATTCTGTAATGATTTTTTTTAAAGATTTTATTTATTTATTTATTTATTTGTCAGTGAGAGAGAGAGAAGAGCACAAGCAGGGGGAGCAGCAGAGAGAGAGGGAGAAGCAGACTCCCTGCTGAGCAGGGAGCCCGATGGCGGGACTCGATCCCAGGACCCCGGGATCATGACCTGAGCCGAAGGCAGACCCTTAACCGACTGAGCCACCCAGGCGTCCCTCTGTAATGATTTTAATTTCTTTTTTTTTAAATGTGAAATACACATAACGTAAAATACCCTAACCATTAAGGCTGTGTATGGGGGTGGCCTCCATAAAGCCTGAGTGATTGGATGGGGCGGGGGCATCAGGGGCCTTGGTGTACTGGAACCTCCTCCTTGGGGCAGGTGGCAGGACAGGGCGCCCCGGGCGGGGGATCCATGGCATCTCGGGCTCTGCTGTGTGGGAGAGGTCAGGGGCAGGAGCTTGGCGTCTGGCAGATGTCCAGGACGTCTTTTGTGATCTGCCACACTGCTGTCATTTGTTGAAGTTCACCCAGAGCCTGGAAGGCAGGTGCTGTGGTGGTCTCCACCTCACGGATCAGGAAACTGAGGCCCGAAAAGGGGAAGTCACCTGCCCAGGGTCACACACAGGTCACGGATGGTCCTGGGATCGAGCCAGGTCTGACGGGGAAGGCTGAGCCCTTCCTTTTCAGTCCTTTAAACTCTAAAAAAAAAAAACTTTTTTTGTATTAGGGACTTCATGCATGCTCCATGCATGGAGCTAGTAATAATAAATAAAAGAAAAAGATCCTTCCCCCACCTGCTTTGCACCACACATGACGCTTGACTTGCTGGGAGTGTTTGTCCCGGAGTGTGACTTGGTCTGCAGGGGCCAAGGGGGACTTTTCTAAGGGAGACACCGAAGCCGAGAATGAAAGGGTGGGTGGGAGTCAGCAGGGTAGGGAGGAGAAGAGCAGGCTGAACAGAAGGCGTGCTGAGTGAAGGCCCTGAGCCAGGGCAAGACGTAACCTTCCCCAGCCTCAGTTTTCCCATCTGTAAAATGGGCATAATCGTCCTTGCCGCCTGGGCTCAGTGGGACCCTGGGGTGAAATTGTGCCTGGAGAGAACATAGCCATTTGCCTGGCCCTTAGTAGCCCCCAGGGGTAGTTGTTACACAGAAGAAAATACTTGTGGTAGACCCCCTCAAGCTCATGGGGTTCCCAGAGGCCATCTAGTTCAGCGGTTTTCAGCTGGAGTGGTTCCACTCCCAGGGGATATTTGGCCCTGTCTGGAGACCCTTTTGGTTGTCCTAACTTGGGGGCAGGTGCCACGGACATCTAGCGGATGGAGGCCAGGGACGCGGGACAGGCCCCCCTCTGAGAGTCATCCAACCCCAAATGTCAGAGGTGCTGGGATGGGGAAACCCTGACCCCTGGAGCTGGTCTGAGTCACTTATTTTACCAGCAGGGAAACTGAGGGGCATTGCAGGGAAGGGGTCCCTCAGGGTCCCTCTCTCAGCGAGATAGGATGGGGACGGGCTTGGTGCGCAGGGCCTGGGCTCCTGGAGCAGCTTTCCTGGTGGCTGCGCATCTGAAGGGGAGCGGGAGGGACCCGGTCCTGTTGGAACCTGAGGCCTGGGCCCTGGATGGGGGATGGAGTCACTCCGTCATCCTGGGGACAGGAGTCCTGGACATGAACTTCCTTATGAGGCAGCAGCCCCCCGCCGGCAGTGGGGTGGGGGCGTGTGCCTGGTGCGGGGTGTCCCGGCTCAGCCAGCCATGGGAGGTTGGGCTGCGCCTCAGGACTGGACCGTTTTGTCAAGTCCCGGCCTCAGAGCTGTGACGACTCACAGGGTGAGTTAGGGCTCTGGGGTAACTGGGGTGTCTGGGACAGCTCCCCCGTCTCTGCTCCGGCGAGGCAGGGTGCCCCCACCTTCTGATGATGAACAGCGGGGTGGCACAGCGTTTGGGGAGCACGACCTCACCATGCGTTTATGTGGCCATGTTTCCGCCTGGCTGAAGGAGGGGCGGGTGACATGGGAACCCGGGAGGCAGGAGACCCGGGTCTGAGCCCTGATCCTGCTGCTGACTTGCTGTGTGACCTTGAGCCAGCCTCTCGGCCTCTCTGGGCCCTCAGTTCCCTGTCACGGAGGGGTGGGGGACCATCAGTGGGTCTCTAGCCATCTGAAGGAAGCTCTCAGGTTCTGGCCAGGGTCCTCGGGGCTCAGGAAGAAGACACTGGATGCCTGGGCCCCGCCTCCGTCTGTCCCTGCCTGTCAGTTTGTATGCTGATCCGTCCATCCATCCATCCATCTCCCTGGACAGACATTTACTGAGCCCACATTGTACACCAGGGCCTGTGCCGGGCATGGGGCCCTGCAGCGTCAGGGAGGTTACAGTCGGATGGGGACACAGCCTGGAGACAGACAGGGTACGGTGTGCTGGGGTCTTCCGAGGGGGGAGGGAGCAGAGGAGCCTGTGAGGCTCTGGGGGGCCTGGCCAGCATTCGTGGAAGAAGTGACAGCTAAGCTGGGACTTGGTAATGGTAGGTGAGTGGATTAGCCCAATGAAGAGAAGGAAGATGTATGTTTTGCAGGCAGAGGGACCTGCAGGTACCAAGGCCTGGAGGCTGGAGATCGTATGGCAAGTTCTAGAAGGTGTGATTGGGTGTGGATTATGGAAGTGCCTGGCAAGAGGCGGCTCGGCCATGGGACTGGTGCAGCCTCTAATTGGTACTGCCTCCTGGGGGTGGGCTTCCTGGGGCCCTGGACCGTGACAGCCTCTGCGGGGGTAACCGGACAGACCCCCTCCCCGCAGTCTCCCCACTGAGGCTGGCCTCCCTGCGCCCCGCCAGCCCCCAATTACCACAGGGCCCCCACCGTGGGCCCAGGCAGCTGCTCTCCGAGCTGAGGACTCCTGCTGCCGAGCCAGCCGCCTTCTCCTCCAAGAGCCGCCCCCTGGGAGCCACCCGCAGGGACACTCCGAAGAGGCTTTTGTCTTCTCTTTATTGTTTTTAACAGTTTCTGCGGATCACTTAAGTAACATACATCCACTGTGGGAAATGAGAGGCTCTGGGGGAGGCCCCCACCCCGGCATCCAGAGTGATCTGGGGACAACAGAGCCTGTCCCCACGTGGACCATCAAGTCCTGGCACCAGGCTCGTCCCCTCCTCCTGCCCGGGGACCTGTCTTGGCCAGGGAGCCTGGGGCCATGGACCAGGTCTTGTCCCTGCAATGCTCCTGCTCCCTGGCCGTGTGTCCTGCCCAGGTATGAAGTTTGGAGCCCAGAGCACCCCGCTGGGAAGGAGAATTTAGAGGAGGGACCTGCACGGGGCTGGGTCCCTTCCTGGTACCAGTGTTTGGAAGGGCACCCGACCTCTTGCCTCATCTCTGAACCCCGGCATCACTGAACCCACCTCGCAGGGCAGGGGGGACTCACAAGGAGCAGCCACGAAGGCTGAGCTCCGTGCCCCGGGGCACAGAGCTGTTGCCGAAGGTCCAGGCGGAGGGTGGGTTGGGGCAGCCATCTGGTTACTGAGCAGGGAGCTGGCCTCCCTGGACCTCTTCTCCGCGTGCCCCTTCTATGACCGGACCCTGGCCACAGTGCCACCTCCCAGGGCCAAGCCCGGGGTGCCCGGAATCCCCTCCCTGGACACGAGGGTCTCCATTAGAACAGAACAACGGGGCAGGTGAGTCTCGGCAACCCCATGTCTCTGAGCATCTGGGCTCTTCAGTGTTCGCCTTCGACCCCCGCCTCAGCTCCGGTCTGGGTTTCGAGGATGAGCAAGTCCGTCTCCTCATCCTTCAAATGGGCTTCGCTGTAGACTGGCTCACCAGCCGCCGTGGGCGGTCCAGGAGAATGGGTTTGCAGCGAGGGGCCCCGAGAGCTAGGGGCTGGGAGCAGACAATGGCTCATCCCTCGCTAGCTTCCCTCTACGCGGGGAATCCCCCTCCTCCAGGTGCGTTGCTAAGCTACACACAAGAGCCAACTCATGAAATGCTTTACAACAACTCATCTGAGTTCATAATTACTAAAGATCATGCTGTTGGTGATTTTTTTATGCCCGGGCCTGGGGTAAGTATGTTAACGTCATCATCTCATCTGATCCCGACGAGATAGCTCTGAGAGCTGTCGCCTCTTCTATGAACGAGGGGATTGAGGCTCAGAGGGGAAGGCACTTGCCCAAGGTTGCACAGCCAGCAAGGGGCAAAGCTGGCACTCGGAGTATAAAGACATCAGCAGGCATCTGCAGGATCCTGTGCTGGGCACTGGGGATACGGGGTGGACAAGTCCAGCCGGAATAAACCAGGGTGCCCTCTGAGCTCGCTGCCCGGCTCCCGTGTCCGTCAGTGCAGATCCCTGGGAACAGGGGTGGGGGAGGGGGGTGTGCATATTGTAGGGTGCAGGCATGTGGGAGGAGCCAGCTGCCGGCCCCATATGGTGGCTCTGCCCACTCTGTGGTGCCAGGAAGGGCTCAGTGGGGGAGGCGGGAGAGCCTGGTGCAAGAGCGCCACTTTGGGGAGCTGGTTCGTGTGAGTTTTGTTTTAGCCCCACCGCATGGGGGGCAGGGCTGGGGGGCCAAGTGCTCTATGCACAGTGTTCATTCTCATGGCGTCTCTTCTTCCCCCTTGGACGGAGGAGGCTCGGAGAGATGCAGTCACCTATCCCAGACTGCCCAGCTAGCCGGAGGCAGAGCTGGGATGAGCCCCCGCTAGCACGTCCGCCCACCACCCCCATGGGGCACCATCTCTTTTGAACCAGGATTCACAGCCTCCCAGGGCACTGGGCAGGGGCTGCGGGCAGGTGGGTGATGTCGGTGCCTCCTTACCCTCTCTCGTTGGGTCTGCTGCCTCCAGGTACAAAGGCTTCATCAAGGACTGCCCCAGCGGGCAGCTGGATGCTGCAGGCTTCCAGAAAATCTATAAGCAGTTCTTCCCATTTGGAGATCCTACCAAGTTCGCCACGTTTGTTTTCAACGTCTTTGACGAAAACAAGGTGAGCTGGGGGTTGGCGGGGCCTGCGCCCGGCCCAGAGTGCCCTGCCTCCTGCAGGTGCCTGCGGCATCTCCGCATGCATGCTCTCCTGCCGGCGATCCCTTCTGGAGAAGGAACACACACACGCACACACACACGCACCCATTTTGCAGATGGGGAAACTGAGGCTCTGAGCAGCATACAATATGGGATCTTTTGTGCCTGGCTTCTTTCACTGAGCATCACGTTTTCAAGGCTCATCTGTGTTGTCGCATGTGACCCCTCCTGGGGATGGCCGTGCTGACAGTTGGCAGATCCACTGTCAGGGCGCCCACCGTCCTTAGCACTCTGTCCGTGCCCGCATTTTTCCAGGCTTCCTCATGTTCACGGTAGATTTGCTGTAACTTGTTTTCACGCTCTGTACTCTTGGGCACTTGGAATGTTTCCGTGCTGTCACTCGCCCGCTTTCTCCCCACGTGTCCTCGGGCTGACAGTCACACTGCCGAGCCCTGGGGAGAGCCCTGCCCTCAAAAGCCTGGAAGCCTGTAGTTCTAGGCCAAGGGAAAAGGGCATCTCCAGGAGGCCCTTGCCCAGAGAGGGTGTGTGTTGCTGGTGCCTTCTGGCTCTTTCTCCATCAGATGTGGAGCTGGGCTCTGCCTTTAGCTGCACTCCTGTCCCGCCTGCCTGGCCTGACCCAGCTGTAATCCTACCTCCCACCCCGTCCCTTGTCCCCTCTCCCACCCTCTCCACTTGGGCGTCCGTCCATCAGCCATGGGTATCTGGTGCCTGCCACCACCCATCATGCGCCCAGGGCCCAGCCTGACCAGAGACCCGGTACTGACCGGGGCCACCCTGCCCCTCTCTCCTGTCAGGACGGGCGGATCGAGTTCTCTGAGTTCATCCAGGCGCTGTCGGTGACCTCCAGGGGAACCCTGGACGAGAAGCTTCGGTGTAAGTCCTGTGCCTGGGTTCTGTCAGGCAGCCCCTGGCTGGGCCGAGGCCGGAGGGAGCCCAGATAACCGGGCCAGGTTGTGGGTCCAGGGCTGAGAGATGACCCAGATGTCTGGCCTTTCCAGGTCTCAGGAGCTTCCCTGGGGGTGGCCGTGTAGGAGGAACACAGCTTACCGAGGCAGGGTGGGCAGGTGGGGCGGTCAGTGGGTATAGACGTGGACCATGGGTGGTGTAGCCTTGCGTTAAAAGACCTGCTTCCAGTGCTGGCTGCACCTCTTGGGAGGCCGCTGTTTTGATGTCTGGTCTCATTCACCCAGCAGATATCCACAGGACGCGGCCACAGCGCGCCCTGGCCCGGAGGCTGGGAAGCCGCGGGAGAATCAGATAGACAGGCGCCCGCTGTCACGGCTGTCAGTCTAGCACGGGCACGGCTGTCAGTCTAGCACGGGGACATGATCTTGAAAAATCCCATAAAACTGCAGCCGAGGCGGGAAAGGGGTGGGTGAGCAGACAGGAGAGCACCTGGCTCTGAGAAGGGGCAGGAGCTGGCCCTGCGGGAGGGGGAACAGCATGTGCGAGGCCCTAGGGCGGAGCGGGCAGGGGCAAAAGGACGTCTGGAGAGAGGGTGGAAGCGGTTGAACCAGAATTCACCGCTTTCTTGGGCCTTGACGTTGCATTGCATTGGCAACAAGAAAACAGTGCAGTTTCTTTTTCTTTCTTTTTTTCTTTTTTTTTTAGGAATAAAGGAGGGTTTTATTCATGTAAAAGCTACCCCCCCGCCCCCATCCCAGGCATATTATTTTATTTTCTAAGTTGACCGGAGCAGGAGGCTGCGTGATTGTGGGAGGGGAGGGGGTGGAGAGGAGGCGGAGACTGGGGAGGGCGGGGGCGGGGGGAGGGAGGCCGTTAGGGGTTCCCCCCGCCCCTCTCAACCCCAGCCCCTGCTGTACAGACCCAGAGCCCCCTTCTTTTTACTTTTGGTTCCTTTATTTTAAACCCTACTTGAAATGGTACCCGTGTCGTGTGTGTGTGTGTTTGTCTCTGTACATCCCTGTTTGTCCTGATGTGAATCCTCTGCGGATGAGTAATGGGACCCCCCACCACCCCGCATGCTGGGGTGGGGTGGGGTCGGAGGGGCGTGGCAGAGCCTGCCGGACCCCGCCTTGCGCTGGGGCTGACTCCGCCCCGCTGCTTGATCACAGGGGCCTTCAAGCTCTACGATCTGGATAACGACGGCTACATCACCAGGAACGAGATGCTGGACATTGTGGATGCCATTTACCAGATGGTGGTGAGGCCTGGGCCCTATGGGGTAGGAGAGGCAGGAGGGGCATCACGTTTGGGGACAGGGCCTGGTCGGCCCCGAGGGAGCCCGCTCGCGTAGCCGCTCTCCCGCCCGGGCTGAGAGTTGGCCAGGGGAGGGGTCACTGTGCGCATCTGCGAGGTGGGCCGAGGCTGCGGGGGCAGAGTGTTCCAGAGCAGGAGGCAGAGAGGGCCGGGGTGGGGGGCGGGGAGTGGGAGGAAGAGCAGTCCACATCTGGAACCCGCCCAGATCTGGGGGGCAGACTTTTGGCCAGGACCCCAAAGCCGGAGTGCCAGGAGCCTAGCACCCACCTTGTCTCTCTCTGGCAGGGGAACACCGTGGAGCTCCCCGAGGAGGAAAACACCCCCGAGAAGAGGGTGGACCGGATCTTCGCCATGATGGACAAGGTGAGCGCGGGTGAGGCTGGTCCTTGACCAGGGAGGTAAGGCGTGGGGGCCAGGCCCTGGGCCCCAGTGGGTGGGCCGTGCAGACCCTCGGCGATGCATAGATGTTCAGTGCAGGTCAGCAGCCATCCCTATCAAACGTCCAGAGCTTTAAGTAAGTTTAGCCAACACTTCTTCTTTCCCCAGCTAAATTCCTTTTTTTTTTTTTTTTTGAGATTTTATTTATTCATTTGAGACACAGAGATACAAAGAGGGAGAGAGCAGGGGCGCCTGGGTGGCTCAGTTGTAAAGCGTCTGCCTTCGGCTCAGGTCATGATCCCAGGGTCCTGGGATCTCCTGGGATCGAGCCCCGCATCGGGCTCCCTGCTCGGCGGGAAGCCTGCTTCTCCCTTTCCCGCTCCCCCTGCTTGTGTTCCCTCTCTCACTGTGTCTCTCTGTCAAATAAATAAATAAAATCTTAAAAAGCAAAAAAACAGAGAGCATGAGCAGGGGGAGAGGCAGAGGGAGAGGGAGAAGCAGGCTCTCCGCAGAGCAGGGAGCCCAATGTGGGGCTTGATCCCAGGACCCTGGGACCATGACCTGAGCAGAAGGCAGACGCTTAACCATCTGAGCCACCCAGGTGTCCCTCCCCGGCTAAATTCTTAACCGTTTTTACTTCTTGACCTGGACTCCTTTGACATACTGGAGAAGTCTCTGGGCGTCTCACAATAACGGTTTTCAGTGCATCAAATCAAATCCATAGGATCAAAAAGGAAGCTAATGATTTTGGAATACAGACATCAAAATATTTTTTAAAAAGAATTCGTGATAGGGCGCCTGGGTGGCTCAGTTGGTTAAGCGACTGCCTTCGGCTCAGGTCATGATCCTGGAGTCCCGGGATCGAGTCCCGCATTGGGCTCCCTGCTCAGCGGGGAGTCTGCTTCTCCCTCTGACTCTCTTCCCTCTCATGCTCTCTCTCTCTCATTCTCTCTCTCTCAAATAAATAAATAAAATCTTTAAAAAAGAAAAAGAATTCGTGATAGAGCATTCTGTGAGCTTCTTTAGGAATGCATTAAATAAGGAGGTATAGTAGTGGGTGTCACCACCCCCCAGTTTCAAAGCGGTGACAGACGTACATGATGCCCGCACGTCATTGCCTATGACCCCCACGGTTGACACAGGTCCCAGGTGCGGCTGGTTCTCTTGGGCATTGTCACTTACCGTCATTGTGGATGGAAAAGCTAAATTTCAGTTAGAAGTTAGCAAATAGAAAGACCTCGTTTTTTTCCCCATCTAAGTTTACAGACCTGCTGCATTCTAGCCACAGACCCCAGGTTAAGAAATCCTTGTTTGGCTCTTCCCCTAAGCGGCCTGAGGTGACCTCTGAAAATGGTTCGCTATTCGCTTGACCCAGAAAACCCTACGAAATCATGTAAATCAAGAAGTTCAAATCTTTGTGTTCACTCTAAGAACACACGTGAAACTGCCCAGGCCATCAAGGGTATGCATATCCGAAAAGCCACCAAGTATCTGAAAGACGTCACTTTACAGAAGCAGTGTGTGCCATTCCGTCGCTACCGTGGTGGAGTTGGTAGGTGTGCCCAGGCCAAACAGTGGGGCTGGACACAGGGTCGGTGGCCCAAGAAGAGTGCTGAATTTTTACTGCACATGCTTAAAAATGCAGAGAGTGATGCTGAACGTAAGGGTTTAGATGTTGATTCTCTGGTCATTGAGCACATCCAGGTGAACAAAGCCCCCAAGATGCGGCGTAGAACGTACAGGGCTCATGGTCGGATTAACCCATACATGAGCTCTCCCTGCCACATTGAGATGATCCTTACTGAAAAAGAGCAGATTGTACCTAAACCAGAAGAGGAGGTTGTACAGAAGGAAAAGATATCCCAGAAGAAGCAAAAACTTAGGGCCCAGGAGTAAATTCTGCAGAATGAATGCAAATAAAAATAAAAAGAGAGAAAAAAAAATCCCTGTTTGTATCAAACTTTTTTTTTTAAGTGAAATAAGTTTGTATTTATTGGAAATTTGATATGGTGATGGTAGGGCAACCCAGTATCACTTGCCTTAAATCAAAGAACACAAATTACAGTGACAGTGGCCTTTTTTTTTTTTTTTTTAATTTTACTTATTTGACAGAGAGAATGAGAGAGAGAGCACAAGCAGGGGGAGCGGGAGAGGGAGAAGCATGCCTCCTGCTGAGCAGGACCCCGGGATCATGACCTGAGCCAAAGGCAGACACTTAACTGGCTGAGCCACCCAGGCGCTCCTGACAGTGGGCTAATTACTAGTATGTCCTGGCTGGATCCAGGTGCTTGCCCTGAAAGTTAGAGCCTGAGATCAGCACGTGTCAGAGAGGCAGGGAAGACCTCTAGGTTCAGACTGCGCTGGTCTCTTGGCGTTGATCAAAAGATGCATCCAGAGCGTGTGGAGCGAGGGATACTGACTTTGTCACGGGGCGGTTCGATGCTGTTTAATGCCAAGGCCACACACTCCTTAAATCTCCCCGACTCATACGTCCCTTATTTAGGGAAACAGAGCCCACCACCCACCCAGACTGGTGTAAATTCTACCTTCCCCAGTGACTAGCCATGGGGCCCTGGGGAGGTGACGAAGCCTCAGTTTTCTTACCAGCAAAATGGGGATAAGAGCAGTGCCTCTTTTTAGGGCGGCCGTGAGGAGCCCCTGAGACCAAGCATGGGACGCATGGCATCTTCAGGGCCCGCAGTGAGCCATCTCTCCGGGCCTTTCCTGGGTTTCCCTGAGAGATGCTCCAGAGGCAGGGATTCTGGCCCAAATCACCACTACCCCGAGAGACCCACTCAAGCCCTTTTTCTTGAGCTCCACTGGGTCTCGTGGCGTCTGGTGTAGGCTGCTCCGGGAGTGGTTTAAATGCCCTTGCAAGAGTGACCCCACAGAAATGCAGTGGGCCCTCAGCCCTTGGGGATTAACCACCATTTTTGGGAATTCATTGCAGTGATAATGGTAAGTATGGAGTTAGGGGTCCAGGGTCACGTACCCAAGGTCACCTTGCCAGGAAGTGCCGGGGTCTCCCTTGACCCCTGATTCCTCCTACCTAGCGAGGTGCACTGCCTCCTTCCTGACCTAAATTTGGAAGCTGTCTCCGGGCCAGTCCTGGGATGGGCTTGGGGAGCAGGTGTCCAGGGTCCAGGCCAGAGGCCCCTATCCGCGGAGGCTTGTCTCCCCGCCTTCAGCCACCTCTCTGCTTGCAGAACGCCGACGGGAAGCTGACCCTGCAGGAATTCCAGGAAGGATCGAAGGCAGACCCCTCCATCGTGCAGGCGCTGTCCCTCTATGACGGGCTGGTATAGTCCACGGCCCAGAGCCGGGGTGAGTGGAGGGGAACCTGGGGCTTGGGTTGGGGGCCGGGGGGGGGGGGCAGGAAGCCAGTCACAGGGCACCTAGGATTCGCTGGGTCTCTTGGCAGTCCTTGGGGTCTGCCCAGCTGGAGACGAGCTGGTAGGAGGGCCTGGAGGTGGGCTTCAGATCAGCTACAGCCTTTCTATTTTTGTCATTTTTATATGCCCGGATTCGGCCCGAGAGTTTGCTTAAGTAGAAGTTTCCCTGGATTGGAAACGCTTTGAAAAGCACAGTTGTTGGGGGACGGGGAGCGCAAGGGCTGTGCACGCCCTCCGGGTGTGGCCCGTGGAAGCCCTGAGTGAGCCCTCTGGCTCCCTTGTTCAGTAGCTCAGATACGGTTTCTCGTTTCCTCCAGTCGGGTTTGCCGGAAGTGCTGAGCCATAGCGCCAGAGAGGGCTCTGAGGCCGGGAGAGGACGGCCTCCGTTTTTCTTCCCGATTCTCCCCTACCTCTTTTTTCTGCCTCCTCTCTGTTCTGTCCTCCGTGTTGTGTGCGAGGAATGGGGGTGTTGCCCCCCCCAGGGTCATTCTTGAACATGCCTTCTGGTGGAGGGATGATGCGTTCCCTTGGTGTGTATCTTTTAGGAGGATCGTGGGACCCAGGATGTGTGTGTGTTCGGCTTCACTGGAGGCCACTCGAGGCTTCCCGTGTGGCTCCCCCCGAGTTTTAGACCCCACCAGCACTGCCTCAGAGTTCCAGTTGCTCTGCAACCCGGCCAACACTGGATATTCTCTGTCTTTTACATTTTACACATTCTGGTGGGTGTGTTGTGACGGGGTATAATTTTAATTTGCCTTTCTCCGGTGAGCACGGACGTCAGGTCGCTGGTCATGTGTATGGCATCCTGTTGGGAAGTGCCGTCTTAGTTATCAATTGCTGAATGCTCAGTTACCTCAAAACTGCCGCTGAAAAGAACAGACGTCAGGAATTTGGGCACAGCTTAGCTGGGGGCCTTTGGCTTGAGGTCTCTCATGAGGATGTAGTCAAGCTGTCAGCAAGGTTGACCAGCCATCCCCGTTTGCCCAGGACTGTCCCAGATTTTGCACAGAAAGTCTCAAATTCTAGGAAACTCCTCAGCCTCAGGTAACCTGGATAACCCTCAGGTGCTGGCCAGGGCCGTGGTGTCATCTGAAGGTTGGGTGGGGGAGCACCCACTTCCCAGCTCACTCACTTGGATCGGCAGCCTGGGTCCTCACCGTGGGGACTTCTGCACAGGGCTGCTGGCTTCCGTCAGGGGGAGCCTCCTAGGAGGGAGGGGGAGCGAGAACCTGAGATGCAGGCGTCCATCTTCTCATAACCTAATCTTGGAAGTGACACCTCATCACTTTTTTTTCAGGAGTGCCTTGGCTACGTTAGGCTATGTGCATTTCTATATAGATTTTAGAATGAATGTGTCCATTTCTCTAGACACATGCACACATTGAGGTTTTGATTGGGACTGAGTTGAATCTACAGTTCAGTTTGGGGGAGAATTGGCATCTTTGTTGTGTGGAGTGTTCCAATCCATGAAAACGGTATATCCATTCATTTAGGTCTTTCATATTTTTCCTCTAGGACATTTTATTGATTTCAGCTAAAAAATCTTTCACATCTTATGATAGATTTATTCCTGGATATTCAGGGTTTTTTTTTTTTAAATTGTATTTCCTGTTTATTTCTGGTTTCTAGAAATTCAGTTGGTTTTTGTTTATTGATGATATATTTAATGGTCCTGCTAACGTCACTTATCAAATCTAAGAATCTACCTTCAATTCCTTGTGACTGTCTATGCTTTATTTCTTCCTCTCCTGTCCTTCCACCATCTGTTTCTTTGTCCTGCTTCCTTGCACTGGCTGGGCCCTCCAGTGCAGTGTCACTTAGGAGTAGCGATGGTGAGCATTTTTGTCTCACTCTTGGTCTGGGGGACAGCTTTCAATAATTCACTATTAGTGGGAAGCCTGGGTGGCTCAGCTGGTTGAGCGTCTGCTTTCGGCCAAGGTCGTGATCCCAGTGTCCTGGGATTGGGTCCCGCATCGGGCTCCTTGCTTGGCGGGGAGTCTGCTTCTCCCTCTCCCTGCTTGTGTTCTTTCTCTCTCTCTGATAGATAAATAAATAAAGTCTTTAAAAAAAATAATTCACTATTAGTTAGATTAGTTAAGTTATAATTAACTCAATAATTATTATTAGAATGTCTGGTATAGGTCTTCCGTTGGTAGGTTTTATCAGATTTAGAAATTTCCTTTTCTAGCTCACCAGGAGTTGTTTTTTATTTATGTTTATTTATTTTAAGTAATTGCTACACCCAACGTGGGGCTCATACAACCCCGAGATCAAGAGTCCCAAGCTCTTCCAACTGAGCCATCCAGGCGCCCCTCCTAGGAGTTTTTTTTTTTTTTTTTTTAAGATTTATTTATTTATTTTGGGGGATTATGCTGTTCTGAAGTTTCTATGAGGCTGCTGCTGTTGATGATTTTACACAAGAAATCCTTTTCCATTGAAGAGACCTTAGACAGTATGTTGAAACAGAACACAAGAAGTTTATTTTTAAAAACCTTCATGTATAACCCAGATGTAACCACTGTGAGCATTTTGGGTCCAGGGTGATTCAAAAGGAATCGAACACTCACAAAAATAACTGGGTCACATGGGGATATATAATCAAACCAATTTCTAAAGAAACCACCATAGTTATTTCTCTGATCTTAGAAGCACTCGGTATGTGGCTTTGGGTCCCATGGTGTGTATGATCCATTGTCTCATTTCCCAGAGGCTTCTTTTGTGAATTACCACAGTGGCCTCCTGTGACATGCTGCTTTGTCTCCCGCAGGCTGTGGAAAAAGTGGTACAAACATAGCTTCTTGATATATCCGCCCCCCAGAAAAACTCACGCAGTGTCACTAATTTCTTTATGGTGTGTGATTATCTTTCAGTCACCCTAATTGTTTCTGCCTTACGGTTTTCTGTGAACACATATGTGTCTGTATTTCCTCAGTAACAATGAGTTCATAACCATATGTTGTTGGCTGTTGTTGTTTTTTTTTTTTTTTATGAACAACTTATAGGAAACATTTATGTTTTCTTTTGGAGACTCAACACTAAGAAAAGAGTTTTTTTTGTTTTTGTTTGTTTGTTTTTAGAGAAAGAGAAAGAGCACACACGAGCTGTGGGGAGGGGCAGAGGGAGAGGGAGAGAGAGAATCTCAAGCAGGCTCCACGCCCAGTGTGGAGCCCAGTCCAGGGCTCGATTTCATGACCCTGAGATCATGAGCTGCACCACAATCAAGAGTCAGTGGCTTAACTGACTGAACCACCCAGGCACCCCAAGAAAAACGATTTTTAACGTGTTTTACCCAACTTGGCACAAAGTTCACATCATGCTGTGTCTGCACAGGCTTTCCTTAACACCATGTATGGAGACACGCATCTGAGCCTCACCAGCAACATGGCGGCCAAGAAGATGTTACTTTATTTCCACGATGAGCTTTTCAGACAGCCTTTCTATAGCTCGTCCCGAAAATTGCCCTCTTCCTGTTCTCAGGCTTGTCCTAGAACCTACTGGATAGTAACTAGATCCAACTTGTGTTCCATCATTTTTGTGATTGATTTGCCTTCTCAGATTCCTGATGTATCCTAATTGTTAGATAAGTTACCGTTACACAATCCACTGAGCCACCCAGGAACTGAGATCCTGCCTATTTTCTACATCAGTAAAAATGTGGTTCGACACCATCGTTTTTAATAGCTGCATGGTATTCTGTTGTATAGTCGGGCCATAATTTACCCAGTCCTGTGCTGTGGGACACTTAGGCTGTTGGAAATCTTGAAGTGGATTTTTAAAAAAAAAAAACAACTTCGTATTCACAAGCAGTGGTGGAGGGAATGGTGTAATCCCGTTACGGACCACCCTCCTTCAGAATCACCAATTCACTGCCAATCTTGTACTCTCTCTACCCTCCATGTGCACCTTTGGAGTGGGTTAATTTGAAGCAAATTCAAGACAGTCTATCGTTTCATACATAAATATTTCAAAATGTATTCCTAAAAGATAACAATCCTTTACAAAATCCATAATAGTAGAAAAATCAATACATTATAATGCCTTAATACCTCCCACCCTGCAGCTGGTATTCCCATTTCCTATTACTTCACAGGTTTTTGTTTATTGGAATCAAAATCTGAATAAATTCCACCTATTGCAACTGGTTGATAGGTCTCTCAAGTTTATTTTAATCTGTTTCCCCTTCCCTTTTTGGCTTGCTGTTCGTTGAGAAACACGTTCGGTAGAGTCTCCTCCATCTGTGGTTTGTGGATTGCGCCCCTGTGGTAGTTCTCACATGTTCTTTGGTTCCCTGTACTTCCTGGAAATGGGCAGTTAGATCTGCAGGCTTGCCTCAGTTTGGTCCTCAGCACTCAGTTTGGTCCACCTCGTCAAGAACGCCTCCTCAGTGGGGCTGCCTGTGTCCACCAGGTAGCTCATGAGGTCATGTGACATCAGCAGCCATTGGTGATGACTGCTTCATTCATTCATTCTGTAGGTGATGTCCTAAAGCTGTCTGTCCTTCTTTGTTTGTGGCTCGGTTGCTTCTACGCAGGGAACCTTCCCCTCATCAACTATTTCGTTACTCTAAAACCTAGTTTTTAATTGGAAAGTCAGGATAGATACTCGATTCTTCCTCCTTTTCAATTTTCAAAATGAGTTGGATTCTAATATCCTTTTGAGGTAACCAATGGCTTTTTTTTTTAAACATACAATCATGAATTTATGGATTTAAATGCATTTGGTGAGTTTCATCATGTTTGCGGTTTTCACCACAACACTGCGGATCGTAAGGGTTCACAGATTGCCACAGAAGGCAAAGCATGTGATTAGAAACTCAGCCAAGCGCCCCAGGGTTGGCATGAGGACGGAAGGCTGAGAGGACACAGTCCTCTCCCTGGGTGACTCTTCCCCCCACCTGCACTGCGGCAGCCACCCCAACCCTGGTCCTGTGGGGCCTTCCTACTCCTCCAGGGCTACCGCCACCTGACTGACCCAGATGATGCTTTCAGGTCATCTCACACAGATCTGGGAAGTGGCCTCTTTTGGATCAGACACCTACGCCCATGCAGTTGGGGGAGCAGGGACACGGGATTTAAGTGGAGCAGGTTATGGGAAGGATCTGTGGATGGCGCAGACGCCAACAGACAGGACGGTCCTCCGTGCCCTTTTTTCCAAAGTATATCAAGGCGACATTCACCTAACATAAAATCAATCACTTTCTTATAAAAAAAATTTTTTTTACTTATTTATTTATTTTAAGGAGGCTCTACACCCATCATGGGGCTTGAACTCATGACCCTGAGATCAAGAGTCGCAAGCTGTAGCGACTGAGCCAATAGGGTGCCCCGTCCCAGAGGGGAAGAGTGGGTTCCAATGAACCATTTCCAAGCGAACAATTCAGTGGCATTTCGTACATTCGCAACGATGTGCAACCACCACCTCTGTCTAGTTTCAAAATGTCTGTATCCCTCCAAAATCAAATGCCAAATCCACTACACAGTTTCTCCCCATCCCCCCCTGCAAGTAAGCCCCCAGCAGCCCCAGCCTGCCTTCTGCCTCTGTGGATTTGCCTATCTGGGACATTTCCTAGAAGTGAAATCCGTGGCCTTTTTAGTCTGGTTCTTTTCACTCAGTGCAATGTTTCCCAGGTCCATCCATGCTGCAGCGCGTGTCAGGACTTCGTTCCTTCTTATGGCTGAGTCGTGCTCCTCTGTATGGACAGAGCGCATTTTGTTCATCCACTGATCCATTGGAGGACATCTGGGTTTCCACCTTTTGGGACAACTGTGAACAGTGCTGCCATGAACATGGGTGTCCATGGCTTTGAGTCCCGATTTTCAGTTCTTTGGGGTGTATCCCTAGGAGTGGGAATGCTGGATCCTGTGGTAACTCTGTGTTTAACTTTCTGAGGAACCGCCAGACCGTTTTCCATGCATCTGCGCCATGTTACCTACACCAGCAAGGTTTGGGGGGCCCGGGTTCGCCACACGCTCACCAAAACTTGTTTCCCTGTGTTCTGAGGAGAGCCACCCTAGTGGGTGTGAAGTGGTGTCTTAGTGTGGTTTTTCTTTGCGCTTCCCTGACGACTCATTCCGTTGAGCCTGTTGGCCACGCCATGCCAACTCAATGGTTGCCCATCACGTGATGCTCTGGCTGCATCCTGTGTATCCAGCCAGCTCCCCGTTAGCGGACGCTGAGTTGCTCCCTCCCTTTTTATTTTGCTATTACAGATGATTTTACTGAGGGAAACCCCTTCTTTCTTTCTTTCTTTTTTTTTTTAAATTTTATTTATTTATTTGACAGAGAAAGAGAGGGAGAGAGAGAGCATGAGCAGGGGGAGCGGCAGGCAGAGGCAGAGGGAGAAGCAGACTCCCCAGTGAACAGGGAGCCCGATGCGGGGCTCGATCCCAGGACCCCGGGACCATGACCTGAGCCGAAGGTAGACGCTTCACCGACGGCGCCACCCAGGCGCCCCCACCTGACTTATTTCTTAAGGATGAATACTAAGCACCAAATGGGTGGATCAGAGGGTGTGCACATTGAATTTTAGGACTTCTGACAGAATGCCACCCTGCACCCTCGCTGACTCTCCCGCCAGCCCTGTAGGGGTGCGTCCCTGGCAGCCAGCTCTGCACCTGTCTCACCTCCTTGTGTCTTCCAGATGCCTGGGAACCACTCACCTCCTCCCGTGCCATGAGGCCACCTCCGCCCCAACACCACCCTCCTGTGTCCACCCAGCCTTTCTCCGCATCCATACCCAGCCGGGCCGCCCTGGAACCGTGAGGCCCAGCTCTCCTCCCCCCAGCCCTGCACCCACCACCGCCTGAAGCCACTGGCTCCAATTGCCAACCACCTCTGCTTGTCCAGAAACCAACACGGAACGGAAAAGGCTCTAGCCCTCTGCAAAACCAAGGACTCGGCTGCTTCGCAGGCAGCCTCTGGGTCCCTCCCGCTCTCCTGCGCGTGTGCTTTTGTTTTTTTATTTCAAACAGACATTGAAAAAGAAAAAACAAAACAAAACTACCTTCTGTCCTAGAAGGTACAGACTGACAGATGGGGAGAAGGCTACCGTTGACCTCAGAGAACACTGCCTCCTGCCTCGGCCGTCCTTTGGCAGCTGGAGAGGCCACAGGAAGTCACGGCCTCAGCCACGATGCGCTCGGGGTGTCGGGGGGGCCCACCTGATTAACGTTATTTGTCGTCCCTTCCTCGAGCAGCGAAACCACCCGCGTGGCTAGGATGATCATGATGATGATGATGATGATGATTTTTTTGTGATAACAGTATTGTGCTTTTTGTGGGGAAAGTGAGTTTTTTTTATACATATATAATTGATATCTTTTATTTATTGGTTGTTAACTGTTGCTGCTGCCTCGTGTGTCCAAAGCTCCCAGGGATGTGGGGCCTACCGTTTACAAGTGCACGCCCTCGCCCACCTGCCCACCTGCGCTTGGGAGGATGGTGGCCTGCAGCGGCCTAGAAGCCAAAAAACTTTCTCTCTCTCTCTCTCTCTCTCTTTTTTTTTTTTTTCCCAGATACTGTGCTCGATGTTTGGAGAGGGGGAAGGGTGGCTTTCTTAAATGGCTAATGCACTGTTTCCCCCCACCCCCAGCCCAAATGCCTCCTCTTGAACCCCTTTTCTCTGCTTCCTGTCCACACTCCCCATCCTGTGTCTTCCTCTGGGTCCACAGCATCTTTTCTGAGGACAAACAGGGGATATCTTTTGGTTTCTCCACTCTTGCTTTGGTGTTTGCAGCAGCACGGAGCCTGGGAGCCAACAAGGCAGGACTGGGTACATTAGGAAAGGGGAGGAGGGCACTCTTTGCAAGCAGGTGAGCAGAGGGAAGGGCTCCTTCTCCCTCCGTGGTGGATTTTGAAAACCGTCACTCAGTTCTCTCCCACTTGCTTTTCTGCCTGCCAGTCTGCCTTGTCCGGTAGACCACAGAGCATCCTTCTTCCCTTTCCTCTCTCAGCTCAGATGCTGGGAGGGAGGGCAGGAGGGAAGGGGCACAGGCAATCCCATTCAGTAGTGGCTGCTCCTAGGGGCTCTGGCCCACATGCGCTCATAGGAAGCTTCTAACCCCGCCTGCCACCGAGACAGGATGGCCCTGGAACTGCCACCAGGAAAGTCAGATGACCTTGGACCGAGGCCAGGAACCTGCAGCTGGCCCTGCTCTGTGCTTGTGGGCAGGCCCCAGCCCTCTCTGGGCCCCAGCTACCCCAGCTGCAGAACCAGGAGGCTTGGGCTGCTTGAACTGGAAGGTCCTCTTCCATGCTGACAGTGTATAATCGTAAGGCGGGGTCTTTTACAGTTTATGATTCTGCGGTCTGCGGCTAAGTTTGCCAGACCCCAACAGACACGAGATCCGTCTGAGTCACTATTTTGTCTCTTGGCACAAGTCTCTGGGGACATGGCAGCTGCTGGTTGTGTTGTGTGGGGTCAGATGACCTACCTGGTTCTCTCTGCAGTTCTTCCTGGTCCCTGCTGGACTCTTGAACTGTCTTTTTGGCCCAGAACTAGTCCTCATCGAAGGAAGTCTTCTGGCATGGGAAGCAGCCTCCCAGACTATGTAGGGCCCAGCCTGACTCTAGAATTCCTGCTTCTTTGCAAAGTCAGCAGCCTGTCCTCTCCCTGCTTACTCCAGCCCCAGGAGAGGAAAAGCTGGCCCTTGGTTCTCACTTTGAATTGTCCTTGGTCTTCACTTTGCACTTTCCCAGGAGGCCAGGGCGTCTGCTAATTAACCCAGAGCACGGCTCTGCCAGCGTGGGTCTTGCATGTCCGTTCCCGCTGGCTGGACCGCTCAGCCAGTCCCTGACTCCCTTCTTGCTCAGCAGAGCCCGTGGCTGTCCCCAACCTCTGCTGTAAGCCCCCAGATTCCGCGGGTACCGGGAGCGCTTTGATCTTCACAGGTGACTTTGCAGGTTGGGCCCCTCAAGGCCCCTGCAGTCACCTTCCTACTCAGGCCACTGGCTCAGGAGCCCCAGGACTCCCCCACCCAATCCTGGCTCTGGCCTAGGACCTTAGGGCAGGAGATTGACTTGGTGGCTTGGGGCTGGAGGAGGGGAGAGGGGGGCCCTTCCCCATGTCACATTACTTCTCTGGCTTCTGCCTGAGCCTCGATTTGCGTCTCTGGCCCAGTGGGGAGGAGCTGTCGAGCAGCCCGTGCTAGAGGCATCATCTCGGTGAGGGACTTGTCGTTAAGAATCATCCAGGCTTATGCGTGTGGATTCCCCCCCCCGCCCCCCCCCCCCCAGCTCAGGCATCAGTTCCCAGGCGTCTATGAGCATCTGCCCATGAGGCCTCCCTCCTCCCTTCTTGCCCTCTGTCCTGTTGGTTTGGAGCCACGGGTGTGGCTTTTGGCCTTAGCAGGCCTCCTGTGGCCCCATGGCTCAGGCGCACCTTGGGTCCATGCCCGGGGACAGCCCAGAGCTGCCGGAAGGGCCAGCCTTCTTCCTGGCAGGGTGCTGGACTTTGGGCCGCTTGTGCCCGAGGTTGCCGGGCAGGGACAGTTCTGTCCCCACCTCTCACCAGGCCTCTAGATCTGGAATTCTGAGCAGCTGTGGGCCTCTGTCCCCAGCAGCGATTTCCACCCGAGGCCCAGGCCGGTCACATGCTGCTCTCTGGGGGTTCCAGACCCACCGGACGCCAGGCTCTCCGTCCCTCTGCCGACCCTTCTCTCCTCGTCCCCTGGACCAGGAGCAGCGGCCCTGGCCTCTTCCTCACAGCGTCTGCTCCCACTCTGTGTGGATGGCACCGAGGAGAATGCCAGAGTTCCCGATATGTGACCAGGCAACGTTTTGAGTAACGTCGGGGCAAACCGTGTGTGTCTCCTCCTTTCCCCAGAAATGCTTTTCAGTTTGACAGCCAACTTCCTAGACGACAGGCACACCTGGGCTTTCGGGAACCTGTCTTTTCTCTGAGGGGAGGAAGGTTGGGGGGGCCTTGGCTCCCCGGGAGAGGCAGCCTCTCTCTGGAGCTAAGCCCCACTGCGCGCCCAGCGCAAAGCTACCCGGTTCTCGGCGCAGCCTCGCCTCCGCGTCTGGGGATCCAAGGGGACGCCGGCGCGCCCCCTGGTGGCGGGGATCTGCAAAGGCATGTGGGGACCCCCCACAGGCCAAACAGGAGCTTGGAGGGGGCAGCGGGAGGCGGGGGAGCGGAGGAGGGGGCTCCGATCTCGCCCGGGCTCTGGGCCCCAGCCCCGCATTTTTGGCAGCGTGTCTCCCAGATGCCCCTCTTCTAGGTCTCCCCGCTCTCTGCCCCCCCCCCGCCGGGATAGCAAGTTAATTAAGTTAATTAGCATAAGGGCACAGTGATGGGAAGCATTGCCCTCTACCCATTTTTTTAATATCTGCGGAATAAACCCAATGGTTGATTTTTGACTGAATAAAAGGCTTTTGTTGAATAAACAGCTGGTCCCATCTTCTGTCTTGGCATCTAGGGTCAGGCTCTGTCTACCGCCCGGAACTGGGACAGACGCAGAACCCCCCTCCTCCCCTGCCCCTGCCCCTCGCCCCTCAGCCTGCACACTTCCGTTTTCCCTAAGTCTTTGCAGGGGCCCGGGGCTCCACGGAGGGCCACACCCCCCCCCCCCCAGTCTGGCTCCCTGACCAGCTTTCTCTGAGACTCGGGGCGGGTCGCTCGTGCTCAGTTCCTCTGTCCCTCAGATGGAAGCAGGTGTCTGCTCAGCCCCCCTCACAGGGCCAAGTGAGGAGCGGAGAGCGGGCATGAACGTAGGGGTCAGAGCACCTTGCAGAGGTGGGAGGCCAGTGGGGCGGTCTCAGTTGTCTGGGTGCCCTGACCCGCTGTCTGCCACTTGGTAAAGGAATTTGGGCAACTCTTAACCAAAAAAAAAAAAAAAAAAAAAAAGGAAAGTGTAATGTTTCCTGGCTATGGTTGTTTTCTTTCTGTTTGCCTTTCCAACCCCTCTCTGAGCCTCTTTTTGGGGTGCTGTCCTGTCTGAATCCGCTGGTTTGTGTCTCTGGGAAAGAAGCAGGCCCTTGCCCTGTGGTGCAGGTGGGGGAGGGGGAGGCCCCAGGGTGGACAAGGGCCACCTCGTGTGCCCAGGCCTCCTCTCGTGCTCCTGATGTATGTCTTCCATGTCATGCCAATTAAACACGCTTCCTGACTTTGTCCTCGCCTCCCTTGTGTGGACCTGTTGCTTTGTCTGCTTCTGTTCTTTTTCATTTCATTTTTAGGCTTCTTCCTCCTCCTGTGACACCGTTTCTCTTGCTTTGGGTGTTGTCTGCCCAGGGTCCCCGAGACAGAGTCTGTGCAAGATGAGAGCCTTGGGCGTAATGATTAAACCATCACATTTCAGGGAGTGGGGTGGGAAGCCGAGAGCTCACCAGGGTGAGCCCCCATCCCCCTGTCTCACTCCCAGCCTGCATGTCTGTTCCTGCCTCTGTCATCTCCTGGGGCGGGGGGGGGGTGGTCTCTAAGGGGTTTCTCTAAAGGTTTTAAACAGTGCGAAAACAAGACTAGGGGCCTGGATTAGTTCTTCTCAAAGGGGGTGTGTGTGTCAGGACCGCCTGGAGGGCCAGCCTTGTTCCCAGAGTTGCTGATTAGCTAGCTCTGGGCTGGGCCTCCGGATTGGCTTTTCTAACAAGTTCGCAGGCCATGCTGATGCTGCTGGTCCGGGGACCGCATTTGGAGAACCCCCGGTGAGCTGTTCCCACTGCAGGCGTCCAGCTAGGTCCTAGAGAGGAGTCCTGCCTCCATTCGCCCAGGGGTCTCGGGCTAATCATCCGCCTGGGGGAGCTCTCAGGCACCCGTGATGTGGCAGTTGGTGGGGCTGCCCTCTGCCGTGGTCCCCTCGGCCTGGAACCTGGGCTCTTGGGGGGCCTCCCCTTCCCCTCCGGTCAAGTAACCAGGTGTTTCCTTGACACACCTGGGCCCTCCACGTGCTGGGTGTTTGGGGCAAGGAGGAGGGGGAGGAGGGGATGGTCCTTGCTCTCCGGAGCTTGCTGAGGAGACAGTAGTCGGGAGAACAATTAAAGGCGATGTTGCAACAAGAGTGTAACTACCCGTTAGAAATAGACTGTTGCTCTTGGCCGAAGGCTCTTGAAAAACGTGTGCATGGATGAGGCCCAACGGCCAACCTTAGAATGAGCCGCCACCTGCAAAAACAGGTCGTGTTTCAGAGTGGGTTTTGTGAAAGGAATCATCAGACCAACACCGCCCGCCAGACCGAGCTGGAGGGCCCAACCTGACTTCTGCTTTGGGGCTGAAGCAGCTGCTGAGAAGGGACACCCAAAGATGGCACCTCCGGGGCCCTCATGGGCGCCCTGCAGAGTGCCTTGGCCTGGCAGGGTCTGGAGTAAAGGCTGGAACTCCTCTAGACACGTGGCAGCAAATCAAAGGCCGTGTGGGAAGGCAGTGTGGGGTGGTGGGTAGGGGCACAGGTTCCAGAATCAGACCTGGTTCCAGGCAGGCTCCACCACTTGACTTTGGGCATGCATTATAACTGACTGGGTGTTCTGGCAAAAATGTGGACCCCCAATTAGAGGCAGATGATGGCCCCACAGACACACGCCCCCCATATACATACACACCCCCAACAACCTTGCCACCAGACGGAATGTTATAACAAAAGCAGGTCTTAGTCTGCCAAATGTCCAAATATTTACTAGCAAGCAGGTACAAAGGATCATACACCTGTACCTATCTGTCCAAGGAGTGGGGGGACCAGTACCCCAGGGCTCTGCCCCAGAGCACAGCTCTAGGGGCCTCAGGCTGCTGAACTCACGCCTGGGAATCTTTGTAGCCAACCACTTATCTGACAACCTCACACTTCTAAGAAAAGGGATTTCTAACAGCCCTTTGCTAATGAACGTACCGTGGTGTCAACTTTAATAACAGCACGCATTTAAAATGCTAATGTGATACCTTCTGGAGAGAGATTCCTAACTAGGGTATTTCAAATATTAAGGGACTGTCCCTGAGGTGGAGACTGGAGGTAATTTACATGCACACCCTCAGTTCCACCAAAGCTTTGAAAGTAAATAAGTGCATGGGGGCATCGCTCTCTGGGAAAGCCAGGATCTGGCTCAAAGGGCTGAGGTGGGGGTAGCTGGGGCAATGTTTCCAGCACCCGGTGAGCTCACAGTGGGTGTTAGCTGTTGCTGGAGTTGGCTCCTGTCCTAGGCAGCCTGGGGAGGCATCTGCAGGGACAAGGTTCAGAGCGCCTGCTGCACATGCTCTGTGGGCGAATGAGGCATAGCCCCTTGCTCTGGGTCAGGCTGAGATCTGCACTGACCTGCCCCTGGCCCAGCCTACCCTGGGCAGCTTACTGTGGGTTGAGGCCCAGTGGAGACAGAGACTTGGCCTCTAATTCTCCATCTGGGCCACCTGATTTTCCAGGATGCCTCTAACTGGCTGTCATTTCCTGGGTGTGATAGCACAGATGAATCCCCCCCCCAGGGTGGCCCCATTTCTCCCCACTGAGAGCCTTCCACCGTATCCCCGTACTCTGCCAAACCCCAGACTCATGTCTGCACGTTAGCAAGTATCTTACCAATTCTTCTTCCCTAGAGCCCAATTCAGACATCACCAGGCAGAGAAGAGGAGGAAAAGAGAGCGATGGGCAGTGGGGGCAGGGGGTGGGGGATGAGATGCTGACCCCTGCTCTGCTGCGGCTGCCTCCTTCCCGCCATCTTTTGGGGAGGGCCTAGGCAGGGTGCAACCCATGGCAACAGAGCCCGGCTCATATTTGAGGACAGAAACTTTATACCCTCCAGTTTCCCTGGTCTGGAGGAGCCTGGTCAGGGCAGTGGGCATGGAAAAGGGCTTTAAGGCCACCTGAGTGCAGGAAAAGCGAGCCCACGTAGGTATAATAGGGCCTTCTACTTGTTCTCCGATCTCTTGATTCCTTTTAGCAGTACACGGGACTGCATGGAAGAAAGGACTACATTTCCCAGCCTCCCTTGTAACTGATTGTGGCCACATGACTCAGTTCTGACCAATGGGGTGAGAGAGATGAGCGCACCTCCTCTTTCGCGTCTCCCTTTCCCTCAGGCTGGACCAAGGGCCCAGAAACAAGCCTTCCTGAAACCAGGGCCCCTGACCCCGTGGAGCTGCCACACCAGCCCTAGGCCATTTACACAGGGACTGTTAGGAGGAAGAGAAACACACTTCTATCTTGATTAAGCCACGTTGGGTCTCTGTGTCAACAGCCAAATTTATATTCTACCTAATATACTGAGCAATCTGCTGGGGCCTTTTATTTTATTATTATTATTTTTAAAGATTTTATTTATTTATTTAATTAACAGAGAGAGAGAGAGAGAGAGAGAGAGACAGCGAGAGAGGGAACACAGCAGAGGGAGTGGGGGATGGAGAAGCAGGCTTTCCGCCAAGCAGGGACCCCGATGTTGGGGCTCGATCCCAGGACCCCGGGACCATGACCTGAGCTGAAGGCAGTCGCTTAACCGACTGAGCCACCCAGGCGCCCCTTATTATTATTTTTTAAAGCAATCTCTACACCCAATGTGGGGCTTGAACTTGCAACCCCAAGATCAAGTCACATGCTCTACCAACTGAGCCAGCCAGGTGCCCATGGGTCCTTTTAAATGACTGGACGCCACCTACAAATGTTTGCCTCTAAACTCTCAATTTAAGCCAAAGTGATTTAATGAAAACCGCACAGTGCAGTGTGTCCCCCACGTCGCCTCTTCTCGCTCAGAGCTTCCATTTTCCTCTTCCTTTCCCACTGTGTTCTCCTCCACAGGTTCAGGGACTAAGGGTTCCAGTGGGGAGGGCTCCCTGGGGCCGGGCTTTCTTTTGCTGAAGGACTGGGGATGGGGGGGCAGAAGCCACTGGGGGTCTGTGGGGGGGCCCTGCAAAACTAGGCTAGGTGGGTCTTTGCTGGGATACCGCAGTGAGGGTGCTGGGCAGGCTGGCCTCATGTTGGGGGGCCTGGGAAGGGGGAGGATTACGGACCAGAACTCCTCACAGTCTCTTCAAATTCCCATCTCAGAAATCGTGTCTTTTTCTTCAGAGACCTGAAATAAAGTCATTGCATAAGCAGATCTTAGAATTAACAAATGCGATGAAGCATAAACCAGCATTGTTCAGAGAGGAGGAGGAATGGGTGGGAACCGTCATGTGGCCGAGGGTGTGTTCTATTTTAGTCATGGGTCTGTTGGTTGCCCCAGACGTGAGGGCAAGGCTTTGTGATACTGTGGAAGGGCCGCGTTAATTTTCGAGGATTCCAAAGACCCAATTAATATATGTCAAAAGGCCTTCCTCCTTTAGAAGGAGCATATTTGTGCAAGGTCAGAGGCCAGAGCTGGGACCTGGGGGAGAAGGTACAATGTGCCAGCCTTTGGAGGAGAAGGGTGGGGAGCTCCCTGTCCCTAGGAGGGAATCACTGTGGTCATCAGGGAAACTCTCCAGCCCACTCTGAGAC